AGTTTATATCAATGTTACTTTTAGCATCTTAGTGGAAGGCATACATATTGACAAGAATTTTGATTACATATGAAATTATAGACAAATTGTGACCACTTGTAATATAATTTTCATATCTCCCTGCCTTATGCTAAATGTTAAAATAGTGCCAAGCTTGTACTGGTCGTGATATCATTTCCTTGTACAACCTTGTGGGAAATTTTGTTACCCTAACTTGACTCACTTAGTAGCAGGCTTGGGTTCAAAGAGAAGCACTCACATCTTTTTGTTAGCAGTCATGGGAGTAAGTGCTATTTCAAGAGCAGTGTATACTTACAGAATAGATGAGTTGCCTTTGAGAAGGCTTACATATAGGAATTCTTCTTGTGAGTACTGAGTGCTAGGAAAGCTTCTGTAGTAAATAAGATGGAAGAATTGTCATGTTACCGACCTTCCCTGATTTTCCCCTTTGTGTGTTCTGATCTGACCAGGTCCTAGGTATTTCCCTCGTCTGCCAACATTGTAATAATACCATTGTTATTTATTGCATGAAACTCATCAGAAGAAGCAGGTGCACTACTTATATATAGGTATTAATATATATATAAATATAACATTTAGTTTTATATGATAACATGTTTCAGTAGCATAACATACTCTCCTTTTCATATCCTTTTCTACTAAAAGTTTATGTGTAGCACCTTTGTTAGTATGATGGAGCACTAAGGCCACAATATGTAACTGTAATAAATCAAAATGTTTTTACAATGTAAAGGGATCTATATGAGTGCATTATGGGCACTACAGATTTCATTTTCAGTGTATCATCTGTTGCCCACTTTGGTGTCATATGAAGTGGGTGCAAAATATAGATGTGTTCACTTCATTTCTGTTGTTTGTCTTGTGAAAACATTCTTTTCTTTTTTTTTGCTATGTTAATGTATCAATACTGTTTCTGAATAAAATAGGAAGTTCTTGTTTTTTCTAAAAACTTTTTAATATTTTTGACAATCAACAAAAATTTGCATTTATAACTGGGAAGGTAGAGCATTTTCTTTTCATGAGTGCCAATAAAGCAATTGATTGGGTATTTGAGTACATAGGTTGTATGAGAAACTACTATGGACTCTGCTGGTCAGAGTAAATGTAAACAAAAATACTACAGAGGCCAACTAGCATAATGTACACTGTCCAGACTATTCTGTTTTTTTTATGGTACTGTGTGTGTACATTGTTAATTACTTATATGTAATGATGACAAGTATTTATTACTTTGTGGCCCGTTTTATTTTTAATATGCAATAAATTGTTGATGTACAGAATAGTTTTTTTGACAGTGAATGTGAAAAAATTAAGTGTATAGTCATCAAAGTATGTACATAGTTTTGTATTATATAATTGCAGACAGAAGCACAAATACATTGTACCTTCCCTGTTGTGTGAAGGATTTGTTTATATCCTTGGAAGATTTGATTCCAAACTTTGGATACAGTGTTATTGTATGTTATTTAGATCATACTTTGTCAAATTTTCTGAAAATTCATATATTCCACATCCATCTAAAGATTTTTTTTTCAATTATTTCAAGTAAAGTATACTTTTGAGATATGAAAGAACTGAAATCCTGAAAGGGAATTTCTTGGCCGCAGAAAAGTTGTGAACATTTTTTCCTCAATTTTAGTTTAGTTCTAAAATTCCAAGGGTGCATCATTCATGCAGCTGGTTGCTTTAGAACTTGTATGGTGCTTTGGGCCCAAAACATGCCCCTTTATGATGAATCCTGTATGCCACCAGTATATATGTTATACAACAGATCATCTGTTATTTTGTCAATTTTTAACAAAAAAATTCCGTTATTGGCTTACACATTTAATAGAAAGCAGCTTATTTGGAATGTTTGAATTTTCCATGCAAAAAGAAATCTTAACACATTAAAGAATTTATTTTCAGTTCAGCATGATTGTGTACTTGTTTGCTTCCCTTTGTTAATTTGCCCGAAGTGTATTTCTCTGCATGACTTGTTTAACACATGGTGTTCTGTTACACATTTCGGCTATGAATTAGGTATACATCAAGTTAATGTATGAAAGATTTATGTATCAATAAAATGGGCTCAATTCAGAACAATGTTAATGGTTTATTGAGGATTATCTCCCTTATCTCATATTGATGGATAGAGCATCATGCGAACAAAAGGTCCAAGCACCTTCGTTAGATCTTAGCTAACCCTGGAATTGAAAGCTTTGATTGAAGTTTGCACAGAAACATTATAAAAGAGGATTTATTTTTAGAGCAGAGACTTCTCTCCACCATGCAGTGATGATCAAGGGAGAAAAAGGGAGTGGGAAGGGGTTATGATAACCATAGAAGTGCTTGTTGCTTGTCGTATAGGTTATACAATTTTTTGGTGTCATGACACCAGTAAAGGTACAGATTGCACTTATTCAGGATTGTGCCAAGTACTTCCTGACTGACATTTATTTTAAACATTGAGCAAACATTGAAATATGAACACATAGTAATTAAAGGTTGCTTAATTTCTTTATTGGCCTAAGTATTGCTTTTATTCACCTCGGTAAAATTCAATTCAGAGATGATTGTTATTGGAAAAATAAATCTACTACTGAAAAGAATGTAGATGCTTTAACTCCATCTAGAGCCTACATAATGATATGATATTCTGTCCAGAGTGTAACCAGAGATTTAATAGGAGCCTCCTTTGGGACCTAGAATAGAATTTTAAAATAAGGGAACTGATATAATGTTTGAAACATCCACACTTATTACTACTTTTAGCTTGACATCTGATCAGAGTCACATGCCACTTAACATTTTGTCTAAGCAGCAGAGGAGGGGGATGAAAACTTGTTGATCAAATTTTTTTGTCAAAATTCCTCCTCTGGAGACCAAGCAACTCTGAGAGGTTTATGGGATCAAATTGTGAAAAGTTAAATGCAGTTACAATAAACAAGTTTATAATGCATTCACACAGTGGAGTGATTTTCATTCCCTATAGTTTAAAGCTGAACACGATTCATAAAAGGAATTTGTCTGCCATATTCGATTATTCACTCCCTATATCTGAGAGCCCCTATATAAGCCGCTCACTTAGTCACTGTTCATTGTAATCAGTTGTCACCGGTGTAGACGGACGTATGCTACACAGCACTCAGTAGCAACAAAAAGTAACTTCTACGCCAGGAGAGTAAGATACCAAAGAAACTAACAACAGTTGCACAAGTCAGTGCAGTATACAAACAAATACACATAACTGCAATAAAATAAATAGACAAAGGCAATGCAAGATAACCAGCACAACACATGCCGCCATTCCATGCCGATACCTGTGACAATAAAACATTCAGGTGTAATGAATGCGAAGAGTATATCCTGGTGCTGATATTGTAGATAGTATAATCGAATATGGCGTATGCCTATTTACGACTAACAAGTTGTGTTCAGCTTTAATAACATCAAATTAAGGGATGTAACTATGGTGGCATATTTCTGCCACCACTTGTCAGATGTTTATGTCAACTTGTCAGATGGTTATATTGACTTGTCAGATATTTATGTCAACTTGTCAGATATAAATATGTCGACTTGTCAGATAAAAATCATCATGACTAGGAACTCCATATCTTGTTATTACACCATGTTAAAGCCACAAACTGACATCTACTTGTCATCATGATGACAAGTCGACATAATTTCATGCAAATAAGTATACTTTTCTGACAAGTCAACATAATTTTCTGACAAGTCGACATAATTTTCTGACAAGTTGGCCTGTCAGATGTTATGTCGACTTGTCAGGTAATGATGCTGACTTGTTCAATATTATGTCAACTTGTCAGAAAATTATGTTGACTTGTCAGATAATATATTGACTTGTCAGATCTTTATGTTGACTTGTCAGATGCTTATGTTGACTTGTCGGAAAAAATATGTTGTCAACTGATGGCCTAAACTGGGCATGGACACATTTTCATGTTGAATTTTTAAACACATGAATAAGTGAAATATTAACCAAAAAATCTGACAAGTCGACATAATTAAGACAACAAAGATCTGACGATTCGACATAATTATCTGACAAGTGGGAGACAGAAATATGCCACCATATGTAACAAATGAATTCAACAAATGTCCCTGGCACTTTGCAGCAAGTGTGTTTAACTATATTTTCTAAAAACAGGCAATAATAATTGCAATTTGTCAATCATTGTGTCCGTAACACTTCAATTTTAATCCTCCTACAAGAAGTCAGGCTAGTTCATAACCATGAACTTTGACATTAACTTGTCCATTTGAAATCTAAATATATATAAAAATGTAGTAATCATGAGCACAAAAGAAATTGTAGTAATTATGAGGATAAGAAACTGAACATACTTAGCACCTATATGTTTATCCTTCCGATCAATAATTTTGATATTGACAACTTAATTGACCTCCAAATCCATAGGTGTCTCTCTCTTACCATCTTCTGCCATTTGCAAGATATGAAACTTGTAGGTTAAAAGGTATTAGCCTATCTGCATCATTAACAGTGTTGACAGACATGCAGACATACCCTGTGTTTACCAATTTCCTCTGAAATGAAAGCATGAAATTTTGCTTGTGGCCACAACTTGTAAACAAGGAAATAAAAAGATGTAGTTTCACCTGATTCTAGGAAACTTTGATGAAGGCAAGATCAGCAGAAGAGAAACCCCCATTAAGGTGATAATTTTGTTAATCCAAGAATATGTTGCAGAGAAATACAGAAGCTTGTGACCAGTAGGGATCTAATGCTTCATGAATATGCATAAAAAAGTTGCTGCTTAATTCTCAGATAACCATTAAGTCCCATTGGCCTTTTGAAAATGTATGTAAAAAAAAAAATATATATATATATATGGGTTTGATGAAGACATACAGACGGAAATGTAAGCACACTGTGAATGCTTGTAAATTGTTCAAAATAATCTGAAAAACTGTTGTATTTTATGTAATGTGAACAAAAAACATAAGCAAAATTCATTTTTGAGCTTATTTTATTGTAATACTTAAATCATATATATAACTTGCATTCTTTAAAACCCATCCATTCCAATCAACTCTTGATTTGGAGCAGATTTACCTCTAAGCACTTATTAACAAAAATTTTGATTGACATAACAAATGTGTTAAGTACATATTGAAAATAATGCTCACCCCATTTAATGGGTAATGAAGTATTCTAACAAGAATAAAGTTTACAAAAAGCAGAAACAATATCACGGTGTCTGAGAGATGAAGGGTGACATTTAAATGATGTACTTTATGATAGCCACGGAACTGAATACATGTACATTATCCTTCTTTCCAAGAAATGTCAATTTTAAAATTCACAAGAAATCACTGAACGTGGATAGACAAAGACATAAAGGAATTCTAGAAGGGAAAAGCTAACTTTCATAAAGGATCATATGGAAATCTATGTATCCTTAGTATGTGCAGAACATGCTAGTGTACTTTATAAAAATTCATTAAATTCTTGGGCATCAATTAGCGGAACGTTCAGATTTTCAGACATTACTTCCTTGATGTCATGGGGCACCATGCATATTACATTGAATAAATAACCTTCAACTTCATGACACCACTCATAGCATGCTGAAATGCATTGTAACAAAACATAACTTGATAATTCATATACTTCCTTGACAACCTGCAAAAATTCATATAATCTAAATATAAATCAATATAGGTTAAAAATCAACTACATACATATCACAATACATGAATATATGCTGAATGAGATGCTCATATACTGATGTATATGTTGTACAATAACACCGTACACATTCACATAAAATAAAAACTAAGTTCCTCAAAATAAATAAAACTGAGGTATCAATAACAAGCACTTTCTTAATTTTTTGACAGTTTGAAAAACCTTGTCACAAATGTAAAGACCAAAGTCATAAATTCAAAAGAATAATTACTCCCATGGTCTCTCTCGATATCTTGACAATGCTGCCAAACATCAATAACAGGCTTTCTTGCACATCATTCACAATACGTATCCCAGTGTCTATAACAATTGAGCATGACATACTGCCTTCAGTATTCAAAGATTACCTCTGAAGTTAAGAACATGGTCTATTCATACTTTATATCAAAGCAATTTCACTCATACATAATATTGCTCAACATTTCCAAAAATTCTACCTGGTTTTTAAAAATTTTTCAGCAATTTCAGCTGAAGAGAAATGGCATTACATGAGTATCATCAGGAATCTTTAGTACTTAGTGCAAAATAATGATCTTTTGACTTTTCAACAGTTTGTCAAAGTGCATTTACATCATGAATTTAAAGCAGTAAAATGTCATAACAATTTCAAGGCTAGATCAAGCTGCATCAGATACAAAATACATGTACACAATTCCAAGCATTGCAGGTCACAAATACGTTCTTATTGCATTGTATTATGCCAAGAACAATTAATATTGCCACACCGTTACAATAAATTTGACCCCCCAAAAATTTAAAAAAGGTCTCATGATTTTATGAAGCACATCTGTTTTTCCTATCATGCCTATATACTATAGACCAAACAGCAGCTTTCAATGTATGGCACAAAGATCTAACTAATTTCCCTAAAAATGGGGTGGATGATAGGTGGTGGTGTTAATTTTAAAGTTCTGCAATCTATCTCCAAGCAGGCTTGCTTTTAAGTACTGGAATGTCACTGCTGTGAAAGAAATTACAATGCATAATAGTTACCGAGAAATACTAATAAAACTTGGTGAATTGGAATATTTATCATTAGAGGTGATGCTTTTTTCAAATTAAAAAAAGAAATACTAGCTGTGGAAGCATTTTATTTTGTGAGGATTCAATTTCCTTAAGTACCCTTGACCATAAATTTCCAACTCCACAAAAATTAATATGAAGCCTTTATCTTTCTTAGCAAGATGTTTACCTAAAAAAATTCTTTCCCCATAATCTGTAAATTTTAAGATCTCTGCAAAAAAATTGGCTCCCTCCGAAACGAATTGACTCCACAGTATTAAATTGAGAAATTAAGTTTAACATTACATCAACAAATAAACAAAGCATGGAAATTTTTAACAGCACACAGATCACAAATTCATTTTTCACCATGCAACAACATATAAAAACACTAATGTTGTGCTGCACTTTGTGTTCAGGCCAAAAACAAAACAAATTGCTTTCAAAAGTAAGAGGTAGAATTTTTTCCTTCACAACACTATAGATGATATAATTATGTTCAAAGTAAGTTGTGCCTTGTTATCATGAGCAATGAAAATGAATGGTAAACACTCGACTAGAATTTTGTTGAAAAAATATTTCCTGGGTGTACCTTCAAAAACTTTTAATTTTGAAAGCATGAATATTTGAATGTAACTTAAAACACTGAGGAAAGAATCTATCAGTCAGTGAGATATTAAATTGAATTCTCAATTTCTGCCATATTTCTCATTTCGCCATGTATAGACCTGGAAAAATCCAAGAAGAAAATTAACTTTGATTTTAATATCCCCATCATTAATCTTAAAAATATGAAAAAAGTACTGTTTTCTACAACACACATGTATTAAAATTAGAGATCTATAATAAACTAAAATGATGATGAATTTGTAAAAACCAAAGAGCAAATAATATACCATGTATTATAAGATCTATTAGGCCACTCTCAGGACTGATGTAATATTCCTTAAAAATTATATAATTCAGTAAGAAACCCATTCTGAACACTACTAGTGGTATATCAGTATGCCAATTTCAATACTAACAAAGGACGGTGAAAAGAATAAAGATGGAGAGAAGTTAATGTTAAAAATTTTACAACATATAAATTTGATCCAAATACTTAATATTATACATGTATATTCATATATAAATGTGAATGATATGCATGCATACAACAACCATTGAATCACGGGTATAAACTGAAGCATAGAACTATGAGATGCACAACCAAAATTTTAAACATGGCTTCCAGCAGAGTAACAAAACAAAATGTGTATAAAGTAACATGTGATGAAGGGAAGTTATTCCTACTGGGCTCGTGGTGATGACGGCTCTCTAGGACTGGTATTGGTGGAAGCCATTTTGTAACGGCGCCTCCTGCAAATAAAAAACACATGCAAAAGAACCAAAGCCAATGAAGAAGAAAACAAACTAAATGAATTGCTATGAAAAATATTCATAAAGCATACTTTTGATAGAAATTTACTTACCAACCACTAGAAAGACACATAAAGTGCAAAATGAAATAATGTATTAAAATAAATTGAAGATTTTTTTAGCATACTCTGTGCATGTCTGATGCCTACAAATTTTTAAGAAAAATCTAAACATTTCATTCATTTTGTGCAGCTTTGTTTGAAAGAGAAGTACATTGCATATAAAAATATGGGTACAAATAATGCCTATAACATTCCACTACACTCTTCAAAAAAAAAAGAAGGTGAAATTTCAAAGATTTACCTTGCATTCAATAACACAATGTTTTTGGGAGCAGCACCAGGTGGGGGTTTGGGGACTTTTGATGGGTCGGTCTCCGGTGGGATGGGGGTAACTGATGCCAAGGCCTCACGGAGTTCATTGGCAGTGCGGTCAGAAATCCTGGAAGCAGAGGAGGAACGACGCCGTACTGGCTTCTTGATTCCAGAGTCTTTTTTATGGCTTGCAGTTTTATTTTCCACAATAGAAAGACTTTTCTCTGCATAAGTAGAACCTTTTGCCCCTGTTTGCAAATCAGTTTGACTTGAATTTGGTGTTGATTTTTTCTCTAATGGACTAGAAGAAGGTCTATTGTCAGTATTAAAAGAATGTCTCCTTTCCACCCGGTGTTTCTCTTCAGAAACTACTATTATCTCTTCTTTGCCAACAGATGGTTCACTGCTCGTTGACTTTGTGCTAGAAGGCACCTGTTCCCCACTTTTTGTGGATTTTGAAGCATTTTCACCATTTCTCTCTTCCACAATGGGAGACATTTTCTTTCTAGCCTGTAAGTGTTCCATTTCAGCCTTCTGTATTTCCTTCTCAGTAAACTTTTTGTGGCCATGTTTTACAAATTTAAGAGTTTCTTTTGCATTATTTTCCTCTCCTTGACTAGGCTCTAGTATCTGTTTTTCAGTCCTTTTGGAATCTGTCACTGAATGTTTTACAGGTTTGTCAATTCGTACAGGAATATGAGAAGTTGGCAAAGGCAATTCTCTTTTTGTCACAGTAACACTTTCAGAAGTTTTAATATCTTCAGGTTTCTTTTCTAAACTACTTAATTTACTACCTAAAATATCTATAGAAGATCCTACATTTGAAGATTCTTGAGTAAAGTTGGCTATCCCAGGCTTTTCTTCTAAAGGCTTCAGTGACTGTTTATTTAAAACTAGATTCATTGATGCAAAGTTGTTTTGAGAAAGGAAAGAAGAATTACTCTCCAATTCTTCCAGCCTTTTTTTATTATTCACTTGCACATCAACATTAGACACAGATGCAGTTTTTCGATTACCATCAACTGAACTTCCTTCATCACTGATCTTATCAACAGAAGATCCAACAAGCACCTTCAAATTTGGCAGCTGTTTAGGTTTAGGCTTGAGAGCTGGTTTTACAAGACCAGGACTGTCTACCGAGGTTCCAAGGTCCTTCTTTGTTGTCACTGGTTGAGGTGCAGGGGGTTTGGAGGTGACAGTTTTTATGTGACTTAGTGTAGCTAATTTCTTCAAATCAGTTAAACTCTCTTTGGGTTTAAATAAATGTTTTGTGGGACTATTGCGGAGGGGGGAGCATATAAGATTATCCATTTCTTTGGCCAACTTTTCTGGCATTTTACTCTGGCCTGACAATTTGTGTGATAGACTACTTGTAGCAGCTGATTTTTCTTGATGTTTTGATTTTTCAGCAAAAGAGCTTGATTTACTTTTCACTCCAGGTTTTTTATCATTGTCAGATTCATTTGCAGACAGCGCAGCACTGTCATCTCCTAGAAACACCATGGAATTCCTCAGACAGTCCTGACCATCTGCATCAGCCAAAACAAGGGAATTTCTCAAAACACTATCCATTTTCATATCCTCTTCATCCATTAATGTATTATGCTGAAATCTTTTAGATTTTTTCAGTTGAGATTTATTTTTAGCACCCCCTACTTCCCCCTCACTTTCATCTGCTCCCTGACTTTCAGAAGAAGATGGGAACTGAGAAGCATTCCACTGACTGGCAACTGTGTAAGGTGCAGCTCTTGTTGCATTTTCATCAAGATGATCATCTGGTGTTTTTTCGTCTGTCTGCATCATAGCAAATGTTAATGGTGCACGACTCACAAGTGGATCAGGTTCATTATTGCACTTATCTCGAACGTCAATGTCCTCGTGAACCTCTGCAAAGTTCTGAATAGACACTCTCCTCTCTGCCTTGAAATTTGAACCACCAACCTTTTGCTTTGAATCTATCTCTTTCACATCACCAAATGACACTGATTCCTTAATAGGTTTAAATGCACTTTCTGGCAAGTTTTGTGAGTTTCGAAGTCTAAGAACACTAGAATCAACAGTTTTGAGGGCAGATTTAGTTGGAGAAGATGTGGCAGGTTTACTGCCATTGTCCTTGACCTCTTCATTATTCGGTTCATTTACAACTGGTTCATGTGGTTCATTTTCTGCTTCCACAGCCACATTTTCCACCGTTTCCTCTTTGACCATTTGCTCCACTTGGTGTTTTTCATCCACTCGGAGATTTGGATCATCACTTTTGATAAGAACTATGTCACCCTGCTCCTCTCGGTAACGATTGTCAATGTCTTTCACATGCTTGTTGTCCATAATGAGATCTGCATCCTTTAACCTCTTTTCATCCTTATTTTCTTCATCACTAAGAATTTCATCGATGACTTCGGTGGCTCCATGTAATCTATAAAACAAATGGGGGAAAATAAGTTTTCAAAAATAAAACAAAGAAAGTTTTTTTCTTCCAAAGTTCAAAGCAGTTCACTCAATTAATTTAACAACCTACATAGCTGAAATATCTTAATGCCAACCCATGGTGTGTTACAGTATATTTTTATGTGCATGACTAGTTTAATACTTCACAGTAAATTATAGTAGAGAATTTCAAACATAATCTTCAACCCAGCAGATCAATATATAGGACAGCGAAATAAAAGGTCGTATGTGCAGTGCTCAACTGATACACCATTCATCAATAATTGAAAATTACATCAACAATATAATCCACTGTTTTTGTTCATCATATCATACAATGGGATAGAAAGTATATGTATTTAATAAAATAACAGTAAAAAAGAGATGATACTGTTGTAAAAAGGTTATTTTAGATGTTGTTAAGCCTGTCATTGCAATAACTCAAGAGAATACTCAGATCTATCATCTGCTGAAATGATTAATTCATTTTATCTAAATACAAATTGATCTGATCTTCAGATAGAATCTCTTTACACACATATCAAATTCCACTCGCTTTCATAACGACACCACTGTGCATGTACTTTAAACAGTCAAGTTTAAACAAAGTTACATAGTAAATACACTACACATAATGTCATCTAGGTAAAAAGACAGTCCTAAAAAAAATTTATTGATATATTTTCAAAATTAAGTCAAAGATTGATTCAGAATTTATCATTCATCCCCCATACTGATATAGATACCTGCTTTTAAGATATTTTAAAAAGCATGGAACATTTGGGCATTTGCAGCTTTCTGTCAGAATTTGTGAAGAGAATGAGCAAATTTTTACTGCTCCAGAATGATAACTGAGTAACAACATGTTTCAATTTTTTCACACGCAAATGTGATTTGTCAAAAATACTTCATATGTCTGTGGGATAAGCATTTATTTTAAATCTTGAACCTCGTTTTCTTGGCTTCTCACAAAACCACGGACTACAAATGAAGACTGTCCATGGTCTTTAACAGAAGTAACAAGATGTATTTCATAAACACAAATGCCCTGAGAGTGGCCATTTCTAATGATAAACAAACTCATATAATATACTTTTTCTGCAAATGACCTTGAACTTCCCCAAATGACCTTGGATCAAGATTCTAACATAACCTTCGCTTATAAAAAATGTTTGTGTCAATTCAGTTTCTCCATAACAAGATGAGACAAGAACAGAAATTGTATAATTTTTCAAAACGACCTTGAATTTGTCAAAATTACCTTGGTTCAAGATCATAAAACACACGAATTTGTCAAAATGACCTTGGTTCAAGGTCATGAAAAACCCTTTGGTCATAAGTTACCTTTGTGTGATATATCAACTATCAATTTTTTTCCATTAGAAAGTTATGAATGGGACATAAATAATACATTATTCTGAAACTAACCTTGAACTTGAACAAATGGCTTTGAGTCAGTCATGACACACATCAAGTGACAATGTGCATGCAGTGTTTTTTTTTTCAGTGTTTTTATAAATGCCACATACTTTGATGAATTATTTACATCATATAATGGACTGATATAGGGATGCAACTGCAATGACTGTGTCTATTATTGCTTTTAATCATTGAATTTGCTTATCTAACCTATGGGGAATACAAAAAAAAAATATCTTTAAATCTAATCTATTAACCTCCCCCACCCCCAATAGAGAACCAAGCAAAATGCTTACCCTAAACCAGTGGTGGCTTTCAGCCCTATTGGTGGTGAAGTAGTGGTGGTGGTAGCCACTGAGTCAGTGTAAATTTTCTCCCAGTCATACGGATCATTATCTTTTATTGCCTTCCGTCTAATACACTGCTCAAACAAGTTATGCATGAGTGAGTAATCAGGTTTGTCATGATATTCCAGGGATTCGATGTGTTCCAGAAAAGTTTTAAATTCTGGTGGCATGTTTTTCAACATCTGAGTGTGGTCGTATTTCTCCTTCATTTGGCCGACCTGTTCCTTGTCTTTGATTTTTCTCCATGGTAACTGACCCGCTAGAAATTCTACCAACATGTAAAACAGGGACCATAGGTCATCATGTCTGCCCATTTCCTAAAAAAAAAAATAAATCTACTGTGAGAAATGCATATGCTGAGCTACTGTTTTAATTAATACATTGTTACATTTATATGATTGTCACATCTTTTGTAAGATACACATTCTAATCTCATAATCTAAAACAGTATATGCATGTTTTCAAAAAACAAGCAATCATTTCCTATAATATGTAATCTATAATTTAACAAATAAAGCTAGAATTAATAAATGTTCTGAAATCTACATGTGAGTATTGTCACTTCAATGGTATTTAGTACCTTGTTTTTGTGGGCATTAACCGAGGCATATCTGACGGTGCCCCTGAAGCCAGCAGCAGCCCTGGGGGGTCTTACTTCACCTGTGGGGGTGGTGTACTGACGAGCCAATCCAAAGTCCAACATAAAAACTTTCTTACTGTCTTTAGGCAGTCTTCCCATTGCAAAGTTAGACTGAAATTTACAAATATGAGCTTTAAGTTCTAATGGAAAAAACGGCATTAGTTGTACTGTTAAGTCAAGTTAATAATTAATCCATTCAATTTCTTGTTTGAAATGATTTCTCCATACTTAAAGCTATATCAGCTTATACTTACAGGTTTAACATCTCTGTGTAGAAATCCTACTTCATGTATTGACTCGATGGCCTTCAGTATCTGGGCCCCCAGCCTGAGGGTGGTACTGAGGGAGAAACACCCCCTCGATTGACTCCGCCTTAACTCAGCCAAGTTTTTACCTTGCAGGGTCATGACTACATAATTGTACTTTTCATTACGGCCACACCCAATGAATCGGCATACATGGTCTTGTCCTGAAAACAAAGATAAATTCCAATGAAGTTATATAAACCAGGACCTTTTATTACATGCACATATTTTCATTATTTTAATGTAATTAATGACATGTAAAAATTTAAACTGGTGTATATTCATTCTACACTCTACATTCATTCTACATGTAATACATTCTCTCCAGTTGGTAAGGAAAAGGTCTTCCAGAGATAAAATTCACATACAGAATAAATGACCTACCCTGTAGTTTTTTGAGGACTGCTACCTCCATTTTGAGGACCTGCTTGGCTTGTTTGGCAGACTCCAGTTTCAGAGCCACTGACTCCTTCGTGACTTGGTCGATACCTTCGTAGATCTCTCCAAACCCACCTCCACCAATTTTTCGAACCTGAAAATCCAAAACAATAATTTCATGTAGTTCACATACTACCCTGTATTAGACAGCCATGTAAGATGCTAAAGCATTTTTGTCAGCAATATTCTTCCTTTGTACCCAAATTCATGCATTTTGAATTGTGCAATCATTATGCAACCAAATTTTCAAGATTTCATTCAATTTTAAAATTCTTGAAATATTCATCACCTCTTGAATTTTCCACTGTAATGAAACCATTAATATTAACACCTCATTATTTTCATGCAATAAGCATGATATGATAAGTGATTGAGACATTGTTCTACAATTTTAGGTTGAATTTTAAATTCATACTCTTTTTGCAGATTATATGTCATAAATTTCGTGATAAATAGTTTAATGAGTAGACTTTCATGTAACCATGAAACAAAGAATGTAATTAACAAACTGTATTCAAAAAATGTCACAAAGAGATTTTGTATGCACATTTAATTACAGAGCTGTACTACATTTCGAGGAATCCTATTTGCTTTGAATTCTACAAGCCAAGTATCAATGAAACATGACAGTAACATTCTAAATTAGAAAACTGGCACGAAGAGAAATGCTCATGCATATCTAGCAACATCCAAAGCTGTTCTAAGCACTTAATGGAACCAGCTCTGGTATTGACTTAAACTTTTGATTTACTTCACACAGCAATTTAACTGACTTTAAACACTAGAGCTGTTTTAATGGGACTAAATACTCAAGGGCACAAAACATGGCACTTTATGGGGGAAAAAGCATTTTAGAAAGAACTTCCATTGATAAATCAGATGTTCAAAATTGGTTTATGCAGAAAGTACATCATACAAACTGTACTCAGATGCTTATTAGCTGAAGTATGGAATATAGGTCAGATGAAGCATCGGCCAAATCATGCATTACATTGTCCATACTGTATCATATGTGCTAGTTGACTTGTTTACTGTTTACTGCTTGCAGTAAACTGAAAGCATCTTTGGTACATTTTTTTAATTAGCAGAATCAAGCATGAAAAGTAGCTCAAATGCAGCATCCAAATCACTGAGCATTCATAAATCTCCTTTATTTTGCATCAACAGATACAGATGAAAATGCTTATTCTAGTTTATCCCCCAAAACAACTTCATCATTTGAGAGGTAGACCTGTAATGATATTACATGTATAACTGACCAAAAAAAGGTACAAAAACTCACCACTTTCCATCTCTCCTTAACAATCTGATTGGCCTGGAGCAGATCTTCTGCTGTTGATGTTGTCATAGCGACCAGGCCACTTCTTTAAATGACCTTCGTAGTTGTTTAACCCATTTTGCTACCTGTACCTGCAAGTGTAAAAGAAAAATGTGTGGTAATCAATAACTAATGCGCTCTGCAAGACACTGAGTCATTTCTGTCTCTTCTTTCACATATACCTTGTCAACATGTGACTCACTATGATCAAACTGTTCTGTGCAATTTTTCTAATGCGACGATGATTAAAACTTTTCAACAGGAATTCGATTTCCAATCAATATCATTCATACTAACTGTGCTGTACATGAACCATTACAGAAAATATCTTTAAAACACAGATGCAGAAGCATGTAATAATGAAATGCAGAATGTTCTGTAACAGTATCATAACAGCACTGTGCATGCGGAAATTCTCAAGACATCCATTGTATAGTGAATGTTATTGATTGCTTTCAAGTGCCTGATCCTGGACCCTAATTCCAAGTCATTCACCTAAAACACACTGCCCACATCTCCAACCAGACCTTTCCATCAAATTTTCAGACAAGAGTATTATATAATTTCTGAACTTTCTCATGTAGCATCATGCCAAACTGCCAAATGAGCATTTTACACTTTAGCTTGCATGTACGATATTCTTTTTTTTTTTTGAATATAGGAGCGATTTGTTGATATACTACTAATGAGATTTACAATATTCAAGTGCAACCAATAAATTTGCTATCTATCTCTTACAGACAATCCTAATTGATAATGCATTCAGAAATTAGCAAGTTCGTGTTTACAAACTTTCTTATATTATCATGATTATTGATTAATGTGTCCTGACACTAACACTGTTTTTTCCATAATTCCATTCTGTGCCATGGGGAAAAGTGCTAAACAAAAACTATCAGTTTCTGAATATTTTCTCAGTTATGAAATAATATTATCATTCTTAATCAATTTAGTTTGTCTTTTATTTAAAATCCTTTCAACATTTTAAAAGGAGACTTCATATCATCTTCATCTGACGTGTTATATGTTAAAAGGAAGACAGAAAATGACGATAAGGCTGGGATCCAAACTCAGGACCCCCGAACTCTATACAGGTGCAATATAACCCAACTGAACTTGGTATCTGGTCATGGGTCATCAAACCTTCTACATTCCTCCTTCCTTTAATGTCACCACCCCTGAAGACACTCAGCAATCCTAAATAATTTTCCCTTGCAGGACTTTTACTTGCTAGTCTAGGGGTGGTCAACAGCATCAGGTGTAAAGGGAAAGGAGAAAATCTGGCGATCAAACAGGTTCAATCACAGGTGGCCAGTTAGCTTAGCTGGTAGAGCACCTGTCTAGAGTTGTGAGGGCCCATGTTCAAATCCTGGTCTGGTCTGCCCCTTTTTTCACCTCCTGTTACAGGCAGGTTCATTTGCCAGTGGCTAGTTAGCTCAGCTGGTAGAGTAGTATTGTTTACTGGGTACTTCTGAGTTCTGTTTTCAAAGAGCAACAGCTTCTCAATTTCAATGTTATCTTTCTACAGTTTTCACAAAATATATACCTTCATTCTTCCATCATATATTCAGCTTTGATATTATCAATATTTAAAGATCTATGGAAATTATGAAGGAACACGTGCATTTGAGCAGTTTGATCTCTGTCAGGTTTACCCTCAGTTGTGTGCTCTACTTTAAAAAAAAACACTTAATACTGATAACTGTTTACAAAGTGATCTTATATCTTCTTACAAAATGCAAATACCATGTTTGATTAGAAGTAAAATTAATCTTTATGTGCTGGCCTGGGGAAGGTTGTAAAATTTGACATTTTAAGTTTTTTATAAAAAGTATCCTTATATCATTACCGGTAGGTAAATTGGGATGGACAATTCTTATATCATACTCTATTCTATGAGGGAAAAAACATGCTGAAAATGTTATGAGACCAAGGACAGATGAAAACAGTAATTATATTGCAGACATAAGAACAGAGCCTATTAGAGCACTGTGTACTTTTATTCAATTTGCCAATTTCATTGTTTTTGAAAAAAAAAATTCATGGTTTAACTTCTATTCATATCTAATTCTGCATCAAGCAAAAAAAAAAAAACAAGATGTGTTTGTGAAACACTGATGCCCCCGTATGGCAGGTTATGGTGAAGGTTAAAGTTTCTCAAATGCAAGTCAAAATCCAGGCCAAAAGATAAACAAATGTTAAATTTGAAAGCCCTAGCTGCAACTGTTCAAAAGTTATGGTGAAGGTTAAAGTTTTTGCAAAGTAAGTAAAACATCAAGGTCAAGGTCAAAATTTTTGGTATCCAAAGGAAGGTCTTGTCACAAGGATTACATATGTAAAGTATGAAAGCCCTAGCACCAACCATTCAAAAGTTATGGCCAAGGTTAAAGTTTTTCTAAAGTAGGTCAAACTCCTATGTCAAGGTCAAAGAGTCAAAGTGGTTGGTATTCAAAGGAAGGTATTGTCACAAGGATTACATAATTATGTGAAGTATGAAAGCCCTAGCATCAACCATTCAAAAGTTATGGCCAAGGTTAAAATTTTTCAAAAGTAGGTCAAACTCCTATGTCAAGGTCAGAAGGTCAAAGTGGCTGGTATCCAAAGGAAGGTCTTGTAACAAGGATTACATATGTGAAGTATGAAAGCCCTAGCTCTAACCGTTCAAAAGTTATGGCCAAGGTTAAAGTTTTTCAAAAGTAGGTCAAACTCCTAGGTCAAGGTCAAAGGGTCAAAGTGGTTGGTATCCAAAGGAAGGTATTGTCACAAGGATTACATATGTGAAGTATGAAAGCCCTAGCTCTAACCGTTCAAAAGTTATGGCCAAGGTTAAAGTTTTTCAAAAGTAGGTCAAACTCCTATGTCAAGGTCAAAGTGGTTGATATCCAGAGGAAGGTCTTGTCACAAGGAATATACATGTGAAGTTTGAAACCCCAAGCACCACTTGTTCAAAAGTTATGGCCAAGGTTAAAGTCTCATAAAATTTTGCAAAAGTGGGTCAAACTCCAAAGTCAAAAGGTCAAATATGATGGTACCCAAAGAAAGGTCTTGTCACAAGGAATACACATGTGAAATATGAAAGTCATAGCTCCAACCAATCAAAAGTTATGGGCAAGGTTAAAGTTGACAAAAGACAGACAGACAGACAAACAGATAAACAGACAAACAGACAGACAGGACAAAAACAATATACCCCTGGGATCTTTCGATCCGGGGGCATAAAAATCACTACAATGATCATATCAAGATTTTCACTTAAAGCAAAAGCTCTTAAACAGTATTTCAAACACATGGCATCAGTATATCCGTAAAACCATCCCTCCTAAAGCATAATGTTCCTTATTTGTTCTAGCCAAATAAGCATCCCTGTGAGGACTACGCTGTGATTATATTACAATTCCGTGGAACAGGACTTATTGCTTATAGTAAGTTTAATAAGGTTTGCTGTGGCTGTCAATCAACATTAGCTTTATTTGCTAAGTAGAGAGATGAACTGTGTTCAACGTTTGGTCAGTCACGCTGAAAATCGAGGTCACGATTAGGGAAGAGTTGCTGACTTTTGTGTATGGGATGAGATTTTTTTTATTATTTACGGAGTTTGATAAAGCTACGCCAGGAGTTCTTTTGTTAATGGAGAAGATGACTGAAAAGTAACTCTATTGAGCATGACACATCTCTGACAAGATAATACAAAATATACAGTAATCATAAAGAAGAGAATTTGTATACAGTTGAACTTTGGTATCTCGAACACTGATATCTCGAACACCATGGATATGTTGAAGTGATTTGGAAGTCCCCACCACTAATTCTTTAAGTATATTACCCCTGATATCTCGAAGTTTTTTATCAGTCCCATTGAGTTCGAGATAACGAGGTTTGACTGTAACTATATTTAAACTATAGTGCTTTATTATTTTTGCACATATTTAAAAACAATTAGAGTTCAATCACTGACAATAAATTGACATATAAGTCTAACCTATCTCTTTCACCATCAAACATACCTGCTTTTTAAAAATATTTTGTGTCTTAATTAAGTTCATGAACACATATCCCACCCATCCATCCCACCCCACCACCCCAATATTAACTATAACTTAAGGTTTCTTTATTAAGAGTGAATATGATACATGACTGTATTGTACATTTTATAAATTTCTGATTCTTGATATTTATGTGTACTAGCTACTATAAAATTTTAATTGTTAATTAAATTACATGTAAGTGATAATTAATCTAATAAGGGATTAATTGTATTGGCTTGTGCTCTTTAATTAATCCAAGTTTTAATTGCTAATAAAAACTTTTGCTTATTGTGTGGACATGTATCAGCAGATATGAAATTATTAATTATAACACCACACTAGCCTTAATTGACAACTTTAACATTGAGACAATTCATATCCATTATTTTACTTAAACCCAAGCTAATTAGCCATGTTTTGACATCTGCTGCTAATGAGCATCAGCAGGAAAGGAAATGGAGCTTCAGGTAAATTTATCTCATAAATCCTCCTCCATAATGCAATGGACAGTGGATAAATTATTAATGCCACTCACACAACACAAGAAAAAAATAGCCCTATAGATATTGTACAGTAGCAGATGTATTCACAATCTAGAAAACATTTCTCCCTCATAAGAAACCATTCTTCTAAACTAAGAGCCATGATCATACATTCAACAAAACCTTGATGAATGTTTCTGTCACTGCAGAATTAAAACAACATAACATACTACATTTTACCTGCGTAATTAGTGCCTTTCATCATGGAAGCCAAGATATCTTTAGAGCCAGACACTGGAATCAGGGGCTGCATCAATCAATACTCACTAGTAACTACTACACCAAGAGTCTATCTCAGTGTGTGACGTATTAGTTCATACATGTACTGCTGGCCCACTGGGGGATATTCACTAAAATAGCAATGGTTTTCTACAACCATGTATTAATTTTACTCCATGCATGGATGGAGGCATATCTGGGTAGATGATTCTGTCAATTCATTGAGATGTTTTATTCAGTTTTCTTGGTGATGTTTACAGATAACCAGGATAATATGTTTTTGGTGGAATTATAAACATAGTCCATAATTTGATAATTTTCATGTTTGAATTTCTTGTGATCTCATGCTTACATTTACAACATAACAAAGGAAAAGAACCATAGAGGGCATTATTTCAACATGTAAACTTTGCAAAAAATAGTAATACAAATAAACTTTAATATCTTTAATGCTAATATGTGGAATATTAGGTATACTTCAAAGCAAGTCCACAGTCCAAATTATAGTCTGTTTCAACTGATATCTCAAACACTGATATTTCAAAGAGGGATATATCTCATATACTATTTTTTTTTGGGGGGGGTGTTAAAATATGCATTTAATATCACAGGCCCATGAGTTTACTGCAGTATATATATATATATGTTGTATGTTTTTATACGTTTACTTTTATTGTCAGCCCAGGTAACCAAGTGACTAGAAAAATTAATGAACTAAAGTAAGTTAGTTTGAAACTATATCCTCTGATATGTTGATCAGACAATTTAACATTACATACATTATTATATTTATTGATACCTAATATATGCAGCTAAAAAAATTTCTTTTTGAAGAATACTAGTAGTTTATTCATTAGTAAGCCTAGAGTAGTACATGTATAATTCATATCCCAAGTAGAAATGTGGCAAAGAATAAAGGAGAAGGTACATGTAACACCAATCTAAGCCTATGTTATGAAAACAAGTCCTCATGTCAAAATGGCTTAAAATTTGAAGCAAGGAACAAATGTTGATTGCTTCCTTTATTATTTATATATATATTATGTATATGTAGACACACTTAGACTATTCAAACAGTAGGGCTATAACATTAAGATTATTGAACTCATGCAAAGTACGGTAAACCACCTGACTTTGCTATCAAAAAATGGTTATAAGTTGAATCCACACTTTTCAAAAGTTATCTTCCGAGGTCACCATCTTTAGGGAAAACTAGGGCTGTCACATGTACCCGAAATAACCGAGAACCGCGGTCCAAGTTGTTCGGTTCGGTTCCGGTTCCATTTTTCCGGATTTCGGTTCGGGTCTGGTTTATATATTAGAGTCTGTTCAAAACAAAAAATGGAGTCGAAATCAAAGAACAGTGATAAATAAACATCACAACTGAAATCTACTTCATTCCATGACAAAACACTTGTCACGGAAGTATTAGATAATTATCAAAACGAGCAGGAATGGTCAGGTTGTGGCTAATAGTAGGCCAAGTCACCGATGTCAAGACGTTCGCATGGTTAAGACTTGTTTTCAATGTAAATTTAATGTAACAAATAAAGATTTTTCAAGTTAAATTCATGAAATTAAGGTTTAAAATAGATGTAAATACCCGACCCAAAAAACCCGAAACCGAATCGAAAACTTACAGAACCGACCCGACCCGAAAAATTTTGGAACCGTGGCAGCCCTAGGGAAAACCCCAGAGAATATCAAATAAGCCTTTAAAGCATTCTGGTTTGTATTTTACAGGGAAAAAAATGTATGATTTTGTATTGCCCCAGGATAAAGTTACCCATACATTGAAAGAAAACATTTTAAGCATATAGTGGATTCATCAGAGCACAGCCAAATGTTTGTTAAATTGGTTGCATACAGAGAGAAACATCTTTCTTCTCTTTTTGATCTTTTTTTGACACTGAAGAGGGATAGAACTTTTGCAAAGTGTGAACTGGACTATTCTCAAAAACACAAATTAGCAGCATCAATATTAATGTTAAAAAACATGATCTGCATCACCAGTTGATCTATTTTGGAGAATATTACAGAAAATAATACACAGTATGAATATCAATCCTGCCACACCTACTTCATTACATTCATCTTCACTGTACATAATGTTATGATTATCATAAAATACACAAATAAGCCCTGACGCCAATAAAGCATCTCAATCGCCCATAGTAACGGGCACAGAACTCAGAAGTACCATTATCTTCCGTATATAACTAAAAGACATGTGTAATAGGTGGGTGAAAATTTATGTACTTACTTATCTTATGGTATGAATGCATCTGCTTGGGCCTAGAACGAGAAACATGTATCCTTTCCACTTGCCTTAGCAGAAACATTCCATTTTGGGTTCGTTTCCGGCTGTCAGTGTGCAAAAGGTCAATGAAGAGTCTCATCAATTTTCCTTAGAATTTGGTTAAAAAAGCCAGAGCATGTCCGAACAGGTACCCGAATCATCAAAACGCTTTTCAATTTCACGAAAGAGACTAAATAGCCTTGTCCGTATTTTCCGGATGCATATTAACGCACAAACACGGTAAAACTGGGATTTTTAAATAAGAAAAGTAAGCTAGGGATTAATATGTCAAATACTGTGACTATAGTTGATATCATAATAATGCTTGAGAATATTTCAAATTTGCTCAATCTCAAATACATTTCAGCAACTTAATTAATTTTATCAACAGGTGAATTAATGGACGTGCAAAATTCAAATTTATCATTAATTATTTGAAGAGATCTTTAATTATTGCGTTGTTGTTATTTTCAAATAATTAAATTTGTCTTCAAGGGGTACTAATTATTTAACTTTATGTTAATTTGGCGCATCATACACATCATGGCCTAAGAACCGGGGGGAGGGGGGCCCAATAATTTTGCCGATATATAGAATACTATAGAAAACATAGCTACTGTATGCTTGTGCCCCCTCAATAATAATGTCTGGTGATGACCACTTTTTTTTTTTGCTTGTCAAGTAATTTGGGTACTTGATAGTGCCTCCCCCCAAAACTGAAAATGTATGGTTGTGCCCCACAAAGTAAAATGGCTTCCGACGGGCCTGCACATTTAAACACAGACGCAACAATCGTTCTTCGATTTATAGAAATATATTTACATTTCCAATGTCTTTGTCCGAGATAAAATTACAAATTGTAAAAATACTTTATTTCTACATAAATCTACTGGTTCGTCGATAGGCGCGGTTAAAAAAAATCACGTGCGGGGCGGGACAAATAGAGACAGAAGCGGGGCTATTAGCACGGGAATTTCCAGAATCAGGAGCATGTAAATATAAGGAATAACTGTCAGATTTTTTGGATTCATGACGATGATCAATCGATTGGCTTGCGTGATAATTTTATGCATAAACGCCTTCGGCGTTTATGCAAATTATCACGCAAGCCACTCGATTGATCACATCATGAATCCAAAAAATTAGACAGTTATTCCTTAAATAAACACAATACGATATAGATAAAATGTCATTTATGAAATATTGAATACAACGAACAGTAATCATGCATGCACGAAAAGTCAAATTAAACAATACAATTTGTGGACGGACCTTTGAAACCCTCAGAGGTGGGATTAGATGCCATAGAGGAGTAAGCATCCCTTGTCGAACGGTTACACCTAAAGTTTGCTCTTTGTCATGATCCGGTACAAACGGAGAAATCCGTAGTAAATTCAGTAAGAAAATATTTACATTAAATACGTCAGACAACACCCGACATAACGACTGATTGTATTTGCAAAAAGGTTATTGTACATATCGACCATAGAATTTGCGAAATATTGATTTCAAGATTGTGGTTAACCTAGCATCATCAACTTGTTTGTCAGTAGCTTGCTTCGAAGAACATAAGCTCTTGCGTATCGAATCAGCTGTGAGGAAAGTTGAAGTCATCATAATTATCACAAAGTTTAGTTGTTAGTTTGCGATCAATGCCGCACTGTAGTAAAGTATCCAAATACGAAGCACATGTGTCAGACTCCGTGGTGTCTTTCCAATGGGATATATATAGAATCTACGTAGGAGTGAAAATAAATATTGTTAATTAATAAAACGTCATCGATATATCCAATTGTCAAATTGAAGGCCACCGCAAGAAACTTCTTTTCATGTAAAAGATTTTTTTTTTGGGGGGGGGGAGGGGGGAATATCTGCGAATAATTAGGCACAATAAGCGCGCCCATTGAAATTCTAACAAATTATTATTTTATATATATTATCAATGAAGGACGCAGGCATCTTTTTAATATCAACTTCAGAGTACACGTATTTTTGTGTAGAATCAGAATGGTTTTTAACGAAGTAAATTTGTAGATGATCAGTGACAAGATAGGGAAAATTGTCGGTTCCATTAAAAAAAAAAAACTGTTGTAAATAAACTTACCAGGGACTAAGATTAACATATATTTTTGACAATATCTATCTTTTAACATGAATTTGAAAATAGCTTTGTAAACTCTTTTTTAGGATAAATTTAGATAGATATGTTTATGCAAGCAATTTTTGAAGAAAATAGATTTTGCAAGATTTTATCATCAACTTAAGTTTTTGGTCTTAGTCGCAATTTCTTCCCTTAGAAGGACATTTAAACTTAGCGTGGTTAATCAATTCTTATGTAAAGTGTTGAAAAATCACTCGTTAACGGTTTTGATGCGATTGGTGTGGGTTAAAAAAAAAATGTGATTTCAAAATTTTTAAAAATCTGTGGTATTTTTAAGTGTCTACTTTTGAGTATGTCACCACTGCTCAAATACGTTGTTTCAGAGTACTCGCGCTGTTGAGGTTTCCCCTTCACTTCCTTCATTGATGTATAACAGGCGGGGAAAAATGTCGGCCAGACTGGGACTCGAACCCGGGACCTCCCGCTAACCGTGCGGGTGCTCTAACCACTGAGCTACCGGGCACCCACCAGGGCTTTAACTTAGACCCATATGAGGCCCTATAGCGGCCTAAAGATATGTAGAATCCTCTTTTTAAGAATCCTGGATCCACCACCTGTAATCTAAATCTACCCCCCCCCCCCCCAAAAAACCCCAAAACAACAAAAAGCAAACAAATAAAGACACACCACCTCCATCCCAAAAAAGAATTGACTAAAAAATAAACGAAAGAACAAAAAAGGGAATATAAATCAATAAAAAGTCACCACACACATATAAAATTTGAGTACATACTCTGTGCTCAAACTCATACTCCGTTCTCTAAAACCTTACTCATACTCAAATTTTATATACAAATTAGAGAGGAATTTTTAGCATGAGTATGGTTTTGGAGTACGGAGTATGAGTTTGAGCACTGAGTACATACTCAGAAAGTTTTATAACCTCCAGGCCAGAAACAGAGAAATTCGAAATAAAAAAAAAAATGAAGGGATCAAATCCGGTTTTATCCGATGTTTTTAAAGCGCCTGCTTAACGTAGAATGTCCCAAATTATGAAAACACAACTGGTTTGGGAAAAATAAACTTTGAGAACTGAGGAGTAACGTAAGTATGCGGGATGCGTATTTAAAATTTTTCTGAGATAATTCCGCAGTCAGTGTAAATTATGCAAAGGAGATTAGATATATTTTCATATGAGCTGTATCATCATGATCAAGTTGTCAGTATGCCAGACCTGTTCACTCTTACGATTTCGCCGTATTTTGTACGGATTTTCAGTCGAAAATACGTCTTACGTTTTGCTATAACGAAAATACGGAAATTCGTTCATATGAATTTTAGCAATTAGTTTTCGTTATCTGTCTCAGTTTGACGCTTTTTAATCGCTAAAGAAGAGAAAATTTTCAAACAAATGACAGAAATCACTCAAAAGAGAGCAGTGTATGATGTTTTGCTTTGTTATTAAACCATGTTTTGGTAATCAGAAATATAGTTGTTTTCTAGTAATATACGTACAGTGGATGAAAAGTGAAATCTTACGGGCAAATGCCAAATCTCACTGACAAATCTAATGAAAAATACTGAGAGACAACAATTTGGGTAAACAGGTCTGGTATGCATATTCAATTCAATTCGTTTATTGACCAATTAAGGGCCCTCATGGGGCAAAAAGAAAGTACATTGTTAAAATGTATACAATGATTATGATCATACACACGAAATACAATATACATATACATAAGAGGGAAAGAATTGCTTGATTGATAGAAAAGACATACAAGTAGGGGAATACCCAAAATATTTTATATGAACATAAGACTTGTTTTATATCTTAAATAAAGACAACCTATGTCTACATGTGAAACTCAAAACACCACCAATGTACTAAATGGGAAGAATTGCTCTTCATTATATGTTGTATTCTGTCTGTTATCTGTGATTATACATGTTATATGTCTATGCCCATTGGGCCCTGATTTGGTAATAAATCCTATTCTATTCTATTCTATTCTATTCTATAGGTATATATATATAGTACATCATATATATATGCATACATTACTAAACCATATACTTGAAAGTATCATACTTTTACATAATTAATAATAATAATAATAATAATAATAATAATAATAATAATAATAATAATAATAATAAAAATTACATTCCTAAAATTTATGGTAATGTTTTTTGTAAAAATCTTCCAAGAGAGTTTAGTATATCTAGTTCTTCGCAATTTAGAATCCAGAATAATTTTTGTTTATCAGGCAATTCTGTAAAATGTTTTACTTTAGATGAGATCAGGTTAAATAGGTCTTCTCTTTCCTCTGTAAATTTGCTACAGTGAATAAGGAAATGTTCTTCATCTTCAATTTGATTAAGCGTACAATTTTTACATATTCCTTCTGATCTGGGTGTGTTATTATATCTGCCTAATTCTATGAAAAGTCTGTGCGCTGATACACGTAATCTACATATTGGTTTTCTGTATTCAGGTTTTAATAATTAATTAGATATTTTTCCAATCTAAAATTGTTCTTCAGAAATAAATAAGTGACAAGTTTGCCCTCTTTTAGTGTTTCATTTGAGTGCTGCCAATCAAGTGAGTATTTTTTATTCATGGATTGTTTTAATGAATTCATAAAATTACTCTTAGTATTATAGGACATTAGGTTTGGGATATCAAGAATTTTTAGTAATTTTTCTATTGAGGAGTACCAAGTTGTTTTTTGGGTGAAATGAAGTTCCTTACTTAACATATAAATGTATCTTTTAGTAAAGGGAAATCTGAATTTAAATTTTCTAATCTGTAGCAATATTTAAGTAACATGTTGATAATATCATAATGTAAAGGATATCTACCTAATTCTGAAAGAGAGGCATGGTTCGTACTTTTCCTATTCAAACCTAGTATAGTTCTACAGAACTTGATGTGTAAATTTTCTCCTGTAAAGTTTT